TTGATTTATTTAATTGTTGTTATAAAAAAAAAAAAATGCCAGGAAATTATGGTACACAAGGGATGATAGATTTCATGAATGAAAGCAAATTAATGGATCTTTTGAACAGTTCAGAATATGTCCCTACTTATGAAGATAAGGATGGGGACTGGATGCTCGTGGGGGACGTACCATGGGAGTAAGTCTAGGCCTAATTAATTTGCTAGGTTTTCTAAGTTTTAATTAGAAAAAATTACATATTAATGCAGCACATTTTATGTTTTTGCAATTTAATCACTACCTTTACAATTTTACAAATTAATACACCACATTTACCATTTTTTGCAAATCGATACATGTATGACAGTTCTGTCCATGTCAGATTTTCGTTAACGAAACCATTATTTATGTTTCGATTTGCAAAAATGATAAAGGCAGTGTATTAATATGCAAATTATAAAGGTGGTGATTAAATTGCAAAAAACATAAAAGATGGTGTATTAATATGTAATTTTTCCTCTTAATTATGGAATTGCTTTAAGTTTTTGCAATTTATGTTTATGTTTTTGCAATTTAATCACCACCTTTACAATTTCGCAAATTAATACACTACTTTTACCATTCTTTGCAAGTCGATACATGAATGACGTGTCAGATCTTCGTTAACGAAATCATCATTCATGTATCGATTTGCAAAAATGGTAAATGTAGTGTGTTAATTTTCAAAATTGTAGGTGGTGACTAAATTGCAAAAACAAAAAAAATGTTGTATTAATATGGAATTTTTCTTTTCAATTATGGCATTGCTTTAAGCTTTTTTTTTTCAAAAATTTTCTAAGTAAAATAATAATAATAATAAATAAATTAATAGCACTACTCCTAATTCAAGGAACGAATATTTTACCTACCATTTTGACTAATTGGGTATCAAAGTGTATTTAGAAAAATTATTATGTAGACATTTTGACACATATTAATTTTTTTTTTAATTATTTTATACTTATAAATTTTGACATTTGTGCACAACAAAACTATTGCAGGATGTTTGTTGATTCTTGCAAGCGCGTCCGAATCATGAAGGGATCTGAAGCAATTGGACTTGGTGCGTTATTTTCAATGAAAATATATGAAACTCTTTTGTTTTTTTTCTTCATCTCAACAAGATTATGGTTTGAAATTGTGTACATGCTTTGATTATTTAATTTTTTTTTTTTTTTGACAAATTAAATATATTGGAGATTCTTTTTACATTGCAACAAGATAATAATTTGAAATTCTTGTACATGTTCTCTGATTACTTAATTAATTTATTATTCTAACAAAATTGTCTTTGTTTTGGTCAAAATTGATTAATATACAGCACCACGAGCCATGGAGAAATGCAAGAACAGATGCTAATTGACGAACTTCTCGTGCCAAGATATGTTCTTTGTGGAGATGTTACGATCTCGTTACAGAACAGTTCTGTCAGAGTTTGTGACTGTTAGGTGATCTAATAGTTACAAATCTCGATGGCATGGTTTCGTAACAAGACTGTAGCATTTTTCGTTGTTTTTTCAATTATTATTGTTTTTTTTTTTTTT